GTACAAGTGAAAAAAATTGAGTTTCACTTACGCGTGTGTTGGATTTATGCAATACGGGGTTCCACAAAATTTTTGGGTACTTACGTATTATCGCAACCAGGTTGATGCTATTTGTAAGTTTGAATAAAAAAGTATGAATAGAAAGAAAACGTAGATTTATTAATTACAGATAATTTTTAATACAGTTTTTTATATTATTTTGTTTTTAAAATATAAAATATCAATTAAACCCTTCCGGTTTCGAATTTGAATAAGCTGCAAATTATTTTTTTCGGCAGAAATCTTTTTGGCTATTGCTTTTAGCACTGATTAAAAACCGTAATCCGCCATAACCATGTACACGTCGACTTATTTTTTACTTAAAAAAATCCCAGAATTGCAAAAAATGGCATTGCGCACACTCTTCGCTTTATCCTGTACACTGCTATTTTCTCATAAATTACAAAAATTTGCAACGAAAATGCAGGAAAATTTTGTGAATCTCCCACATGCTCTTTTTACAAAACTACGTATAACACGTAGGGTTGCCATAAGTAGGGTCACCAAATTTCGCAATTTATGCGAATTTTGGCCTGGTTGCGTTAATACATAAGTACCAATTTTTGTAAATATTGTGGTATCCTGGGTGTTGCAAAAAAATCTCAGTGATAAAAAGGAGTCACAACTGAAAAAAGTTTAAGAAACCCTGCTGTAAACCATCTGAATACAGTAGCATAGAATGGGCCTTCATTTCCAAATGCTAACTGTAGATACTGAATGCATTCTTCTTGATTTAATCCACTTTAAAGTCATAGAAAATCATAATGTGATACTTTTCTCAATTCCATTTTTCCTTCTGCCTAAAATTTAGTCTATGCACTAAACTGCTTATAGTTGGCCAATAAAAATCATCTAGTAATACAAAATAGTTCATATTTCCAAATCTAACCATTAATTTTTTTCTGCCACTTATTGTCTGCGTATATCTCAAAACTTTCAGAGTGACCTCTGCATCTATAAATTTTTCTTAGCAAAACTACTTTAATTATTTTACGGTCAGAGTAAAAAAAATTTTTTTTTTTGGAAACCCAACAATAAAAAAGTAACAGAAAAATTACCTCGCAAAAGTCTTTGCACAAAGAAATATGCACATAGTATTAGTAAATATCGCAGTATTTTTTTAGTTAGCATTTTGTAGGATATCTTGCAACATTTATGACAACTTTCAAACATTTGGGCATACAGTGCACCATTTTTTTTTTTTTTTTTTTTTTTTCAATAACTACATCAGAGCCTCTAGTTTAAATATGATGACTGAAGTGGTGTTTTCAGAACTTGTGGACAAACATAGATACATTGATAGGATAAACATATAAGGCAAACGTTGAGGGCTGTGTGCTTTAGATTGTTATCCTGATAAAAAATAAACATGCTTATATCAAAAAAAGCAGAAAGCCAAACCTGCCAATATCCAAAAGTTCCTCATACTTTCTTCGGTACTTACGTATTATCGCAACCAGGTTGGCGTTATTTGTAAGTTTCAGTAAAAAAGTATGAATAGAAAGAAAATGTACATTTATTAATTACAGATAATTTTTAATACAGTTTTTTATATTATTTTGTTTTAATATATAAATAGCAATTAAACCCTTCCGTTTCGAATTTGAATACGTTGCAGAATTATTTTTTCCAGAAATCTTTTGGCTATTGCTTTTAGCACTGATTAAAAACCATAATCTCCATAACCCATGTACACGTCTACTTTTTTACTTAAAAACATCCGAATTGCAACAAAAATGGCATTGCGCACACGTCTTCGCTTTATCCATGTACACTGCTATTTTTCTCATAAATTACAAAAATTTGCACGAAAATGCAGGAAAATTTTGTGAATCTCAACGTGCTCTTTTTACAAAACTACGTATAACACGTAGGGTTGCCATAAGTAGGGTCACCAAATTTCGCAATTTATGCGAATTTTGGCCTGGTTGCAATAATACGTACGTATCCTTTCTTCTCCATACAATTATAAACCCATCCAAACCAAAAATGGTTGATCTTTACATTACGGTAACTTGGCGATTTTTTGGCGAAAATTTGGCGACCAACTCCCCTACAGCAACCCTCTATTTTTTTTTCCCCGCCGCCATTTTGTCTTCACGAAGTAAAGACATGTTTCTTTTCTTCTTATCTACTGAACACTTCTTCCAACAATCTACTAGCCGAATTACACTTATGCTAGAAATTTTATCAAACAAAACTGCTTAATCATGACAAATTTCACTGCAAAATTCGGAAAAAGTGCACAATACCTAATACACCTTACGCGTTTTTTTCAAAATAACACATACACATAAACCATGTACAACGCCGACTTATTTTTTACTTAAAAAAACATCCCAGAATTGCACAAAAATGGCATTTGCGCACACTCTTCACTATATCCATGTACACTGCTTTTTTCTCAAAATTCGAAAAATTTCACGAAAATACATGACAATTTTCTCAATCTTTAAACCCGGTAAAAAGAACATATATGAAATTACCTGATCGCGAAAAGTATTTACCCTTTACAAATATGAACATTTCCACATATAAAAATAAATAAAATATCCAAAAACTTTTACCTCTAAATCATCTATTACATTATACACGTCACCAACGAATTCATACATGAAGCATTACAAATATTAGTATCAAATATTTAAATTATTTCCATGCACGTTTATTTCAAACTTAAACGTAACCAAATTCCTACAAGCATAAAATTCACAAAATAACTATCATTTCATTAAAATATCACTGAACCATGTACACGTCGACTTATTTTACTTAAAAAAACATCCCAGAATTGCACAAAAATGGCATTGCGCACACTCTTCACTATATCCCATGTACACTGCTTTTATCTCATAAATTAAAAAAATTTCACGAAAATACATGACAATTTTCTCAATCTTTAAACCCGGTAAAAAGAACATATATGAAATTACATGATCGCGAAAAAGTATTTACCCTTTACAAATATGAACATTTCCACATATAAAATAAATAAAATATCCAAAACTTTTACCTCTAAATCATCTATTACATTATACACGTCACCAACGAATTCATACATGAAGCATTACAATATTTATTATCAAATATTTAAATTATTTTTCCATGCACATTTATTTTCAACTTAAACATACACCAAATTCCTACAAGTATAAAATTCACAAAATAACTATCATTTCATTAAATATAATTAAATTCAAAAACACCACTTAAAATATACATGAGCACATACATTCAATTAATAAAAATTACCTTACAATCCTAATTACTTTAAACTAAATCATTGCTAATAACAATTTTACCAATAATACCAAATTCCTTTCCACCTTACATTTCCAACAATGCATAAAAATAATAAAAATACTAACTTACCTAATCTCCTTCCTTCAGAATCTTCATTACGTGGCGGATACACTTTTCTTCATTCTCTTTCAGAATCTTTAAAATCATACTTATCTTTCAAAGCAAGATACCACGTAAAATAAATAACATAATAAAACATGTTTATTTCTCTCTCACACAACCTTAAAAAACATTTCTTACTATCCTTTTCAATACCACTAAATACCCATTTCGAATTCAATTTACTTACGGCCATGGGATCCAAAAATTCACAAACACTATTTCACACAACACAGAATAAAGCCAAATACAAAATTTCCAAATTTTTTCCCGATTTCCCCCCTTTTCCGATTAAAGAACTGTAATTCGTCCATTAATATCACATGACATATCCCATGATCTCTCATTTCCTCCACACAAAATAATGCGTAATCGGAACTCAGTACTGCTCACATTATTACCAAAGTCCCAGGTAGTAACCTTTATCGCCTCCAAAATGTTGCCAAACTACCAGTTACCGTAATGTAAAGATCAACCCCAAAAATTTTAAATGTGCTTTCATCTGCAAATAAGACATGATTCCAACATGCTTTGGACTTAGTTACCATTGTTACCGAGAAGGAAAACATCAGCTTTCTACTTTTTACACTTATAAAAAAATTTTCTTCAAGCAGAGCACCCATGTAATTCAGCTGATCTGTGTACTCATTGACAGTTTCAGGTGAAACTGGAGTAGAAAATTTTTCTATAAAAATCTGCAGAAGTCTTTACAACACTTAAAGATGGAATTTTAACAAATTTTCCAACTATAACTTTCTGATCACTTTGAGTTAACCTTTCTTCCTTTATTTTTGATCTGATTTTCTTCATTAAAACATTTTATCATAGATTGCACCACAGAATGAGATAAATTTACTAATTTAGCAGCATCCTGGATCAATTTTTCCACCCTTATGATGAAAAATGATCAATTTTTGAATGCCATTTATTGTTTCCATACGACTATGAACCAATTTTAAATATTTAATAAAATATAACAAAGCAAGCAAGCAGAGAATAAAGTCAAACGATTTTTTAAATATCATAAAAATGCAAAAATTTAAAAAAAATGGTAGACGATAATTTTATTTATGAAATTCGACGAAAATATTTCGGTGTAGGATAACTTTTGTGACGTGTTTTATCTACACCCCTTCATATTTTTAATTTTTAAAAAAGAAAATCAGTATCGAAAAAAGTTTGGTTTTATTCAAAATCGCACAGAGATGATATGAAAAAATACTGGACTTCATTACATTCGAATTCAGTGCCGTCTTACAGTACTTTTTTAACAAATTCTTAAAGTGTACAAATACTTTTGGGAGCCGCTGCATGTATGTTTTGAGTTTTGGAAAGGGGGAATGAACCTCTAACGATGGTAAGGTGGGCAAAATAGGCTGAGAACCACTGCTTTACATATTATATAGTTAGCTCGAGATATCAACAAATCGCCAAGGGCCGGTTATCTGAAAACTGCCTAAAACCACCGAGCAGATTTAAGATCTGAAAAACATTTAGAGAAAACAAATTCCGTATTATCAAATATAATAACATACATAAGACAATATTATAATACTAACTTGCCTAGGAAATTCTGCACCGTTCGATTCAGCCATATTTTAACAAGAAATTAAACTCGTGCAGCGCTTCGGACATTTAAACACATATACACAAATAAAGGATTCAATTATTACTGGCGGTCAGCTCTGATGCCAACTTCGGCAGTAATACCTCTTAATCCGAATCATAATAAAGACAGACAGATGTCTCGTTTTGCACCTACTAAGTCTTTCTGTACCGATGAGCGAAAAATCAAGCTAAGGTGCGAAGGAAAGGTATATAGAAAGGGGGGCAATTTCATATTTCAGAGGAGAGTAAAAAGGAACTTCGTACATTTTGTACAAGTTCGAAAGGTCAAAAAGAAAAGATGGGACAAAATTTAAAATAAATGGCCCGAAAAAAATAGGGGGGAAGTGCCTATAGAAAGAAAAGGAAAAATTGTAGAAAATATCCTAAAATACGATTGTGTCCATGAGTGCAGTTAAAAGGAGAAAAAGCTGTCTTCATTTACAATAAATAGTGTCTCACAGGTGTGTGTATAGTGAGTGTGTTTGGTAATGCTGAATAGATGTGATACTGGGAAAGAAAAAAAAAAAAAAAAAAAAAAAAAAAAGGTGACAGTGTTAAAAAGCTTCGTATCAAGGTATTTAGTATGCAATACAAAGTAATATGTATACTTGCATCCTGAGACACAACAGCAAAAGACCCATAACATCAGACAAAAGTATATATTAATATAACTAAAGCAACTTCTGCTATTTTTGTTCCCAACATTTTCATACATTTTAAAAAAAAAAAAAAAAAAAAAAAAAAAACAGCAGCAGACAAAACACATAGAAACATAATACACAATACAAGACCACAACCGAGCAAATACCAAATATATATATGTCATAATAATAAAAGCACAAGGAAATGACGGAGCAGTGTAGATGTGTAGTTATGCTATGTTGAAGAGGAAGTTTGACATTATATAAGCATGGAAAAAGACGGAGCACTGTTGATGCGTAGTTATGCTATATTGAAGAGGAAGCATTCTGATTGCGTCGTAAGCTAATGTGTTGACTTCGTAAATAAAACTTGGCAGTCGAGGCGATTTTAATTCCATTTTTATTTCCTATTGACATTATGTGGCCACAGATCACTTGGCACCCTAATCGTGCCTGTTCGTACCATTACATTATTGATATTATTGCAATAGGAAGCAGCGTAGCGAAATTGCGTCCAAGCACAGCACAGACAGAAGCTGAAGTGCGTAGTTATGCAAGATGGAAGCATGCGAAGAGAAAAGTTTTGGTTTACAATTTGGTGATTGGTCGAGAGGGATCTGCATTATGGGTTAAGTAAGATCGCATGATGAATTTGAATGACGCAGTTTAGACTTAAGCGCTATTTTTAGGACAGATAGAGGAAGTTCTGAAATGAAATAGAAAATAATGGAAGTTATAGTGAATAAGTTTAGAAGTTTGCTTTCATATATTTTCTTACATAACACATAGAAACATACACAATACAAGACCACAACCGAGCAAATACCAAATATATATATATATATGTGTGTGTGTGTAAATTACAGAGTATATGTATTAAAAACATAAATTAAACATGGTATTTATTAATTTAACTATCATAATTTATTACAAGTTTAATTACTTTACTATCATAATTTATTATTAGTTAATTAATGCTAGTTTAATACATTGAGGCACACTGTTATTTATATAAACTCATAGTTCTAAGAACTTATTTAAGGCAATGAAGAATAATCCATCCCTTACATTTGCATAGCAAGGAACAGTATGAGAAAAAAAAAATCGGTGGGGTATAATATTATTTAAAGGCGAAAATATATTTAAGCGATCTAAAAAACGGAGGAACCAAAAGATCCGAGAGGGAAGTAGCGCGATGCCCCAAATCCCCAATTTTTCCTCTCACGAGATTCCTCAAAACAAGATAAGAGGGGCTTTGTAGGTGATGACAGACGTGAACTGATAACGTTGGCGTCTCTTTGGAATTGTAACCACAAAGGAAGCCACAAGCAATGAGCAATTTCAAGTATTGTTTAATGCTAAAAATTGATGAAAAAAGTAAAATTAAATTATTTAAAGGTACTTATTTATAGAAATTTGATTTAGTTTAGATGAAAGAAGGGTACTTATCTTAAAATTCCAGGCTTTCGTAGTCCGCACATTGTCCGCTGTTTTATTCTCATCAACATCGGAGGTTAAAATCTTTGAAAAAGGTATAGGTTTTGTAGAAAAAACACTATTTCAAAGTAATTTAATTGATAATCACTAAGGGAAAAGGAATGTTTTTCACTTTTATACAGAGCGCTGCGAAGGAGCAGCCGCTTGCCTCGGTGATCGCAGCACCCTCCAATAATCCGAATCATAATCATAATAAACATTACGCTTCACTTAAAACTCGACAATGGTTACAGTGCTGAGTAAAATCAGCAGCTATAAATCATTTACTATCCTTTATTGCTGTTATTTCTATATTCTTTAGCCCATTAAATATCTCTAAATTTTTATTGTTGTTATTTTGGTTAGCCTAGAAGGACTATTCGTCTCAAAACGGGATTTTCCGTTGAATCACTATAATAAGGCTCTAGAGGTATATATACTATAAAAATCTGAATCCCTTTTCAAACTGTTGCTACGAAATATTATCGCCCTGTATTACATTTAAAGAAATTAAAACATGAAGAATTTGTATGAATGTAGGCACGCTTTTCGCACTGTGAAAAACCAGCAATACCTAGAGCCATCAAATATTGAATAACGCAGTAGCGTACCGACGGAGGAGGGCAAGGAATTTATGATGCCCCGGGCGCCGCTAGCAGAGGGGCGCCAAATGGTTTCCAAACAAGATTTTCATCATATCACTGATTTTTTCGGGGGGGGCGCCAAAAAGGTATTTTTTCCTAGGCGCCAGTTATGCTCGCTACTCCACTGGAATAACGTAGTGCTCCACTCGAATATGGACACCTAGAAGCCCAAGTTTTTTATTGTTATTTCATATTTTGTAAAACTTTAACGAATTTTTTATTTACAAACTCAATGGTTTCAAAGCGAGCAATAGCAACACTGTGCAGGAAAATAATTTTTATCTCCAGCGCACGAGAGTGACTATCGGTAATTCTAAAGATAGGGTATTCTTTCCTGAAGAATACCCCTAAAGATATGCTATTTATAAATATTTTTCTGTGTATTTCAATTTTTGTAAAATTTAACGAATTTTTGATTAACAAACTTAACGATTTCAAAGCGAGCAATGGGAACACTGTACGGCCAAAAAAAAATGTTTATGTCCAGCAAGCGAGACTGTCTATTAAAAATTCTAAACGTAGGATGTTTTTAAATATTTTAGCCCAAAGGATCATTAGCCTAAATGCTCTCGAAACGTGCATGTGTATGTAAATAGGGGGAAAATAAGCGTTCCTTTGGGCATAATATAAAATAAGCTTTGAGATACTTTTAACTTTTAACTTTAGCGCAATTAAATTACTTTGAAATTTGCGCTTTATTTTTACAATTTTATGTTTCTCCCTCTTCATGTTATTTAGCTTCGTTACACTAAAGCATATAAATGTTTTCACACAGTAGTTTTTACTCATAAATATGCCATATAGAATTATGCTCAGAAAAACAGTTATAGCATTAAACTTCAGAAATATTATAAATTGAGTTAAAAATGTTTCTTATGGCCAAGCACTTGAAGGTTAGTGCTTCTGGGTTCAGTTTCTAAAGGATAAGGTTCGTATTCATGTTACATGCAGTGAGTTTTAGGTAAAATAGCTGATTACTCATGGGCAGAGCTCTGGGAAAACTTTCTTTCCAAGGGCCTTCCACAGAGGGAAAACTATAAAATCGGCCATGCAGGCAGCTCGTGCTAATTGGCTTCGAATCCAGGCTAAACTTCAAATGTTCAGTCGTCTTTCCCATATACTACTACTATGCTCTTTGGAGTTTAAATGCATTAAATATCCGTTATTTGGGTCGCACGAGTTGTCATTGTTCTCACTGTTTTCACAGGATTCATCTAGAAGTTCAACCGAACATCATACACCTGTGGTATCGCCAGGGGTACCCGTAACACGGGTTCCCAACCTAAAGTATGCGTATCCCTGGATATCCGCGACGGCTTAAACAGGATATGCGAAAAAATTAACCGTAATGATAAAAAAAAAAAAAAAAAAAAAACGAAATATTATCATTAATACTGATAAAGAAAATGTTTAAAAAATTTAATTTATTATTGAATAAAAGGGTAAGCAAGCAATAAAATGAATAAAAGGGCAAAGTAAAATAAATATAATTTTACTCTGCAGAACAACTTCATAAAATAAATAAATAAATAAATAAATAAAATAAAAAAACAAAATCTGAAATGTTTCAGATTTTAAATTACGTCCAAAGGGGCGTTTTTTTAACATTTTGTGTGTTACCTTTCTTTATTAAATATCATGTTCCTCGCACTTAAACCATAAGATCCAGTGCAACAGCAATATCGCAAAATAGTTTTAAAACGAGCATATCTTTAGAATTTCCGATACAGAGACTCACGCGCTGGAGATAAAAATGTTTTTTTCTGCACAACGTTGCCATTGCTCGCTTTGAAATCCTTGAGTTTGTTAATCAAAAATTCGTCAAAGTTTTAAAAAATAGGAAATCGATCATAAAACAAATTTCAAATTTCAAATTTGGTCTTCCACATGCTCATATTCGTTGGAGGATTACGTTATTCAAAATTCGATGACTCTATGTACCGTTGTTTTATCACAATACGAGAAATATACATACATTTATGCAGATTTTTCATTATTTAATTTCTTCAAATATAATGCAGGACTCTAACATTTTGTGGCAACAGTTTGAAAAGTGAACCGACATTTATCCGTCCGACGCAAAATGCCAAAACGAAACTAATAGTCCCTTCGGGATTCAAATCCCTTTGGACTAATAAATAAATAAATAAATAAAAATAAAAATAAAAAAGTGTATTACATATAACAAAATTAAAATGAAATAAGCAGTATCCCTTAATACAAATGTTAATTATCCTAATAAATAACTTAACCATATTCCCGTTGCCTTCTTTCCACAAACGTCCAGTATCCAAGAGAAACAGTTAAATTTAAAAAGGCACAGAATTATCGCCCT